CAGCCACAGCCCACGGGTCAGTGACCACTCCATCCTGATAAAGGAGAGGCGATGTCCGCCACCTGGTATGGGGGGGGGGATGACTCGGATTCGAATCTCAGATCTGTCGCCGTCCAGCCCCTGGCGCTTGGGAGCTGAGGTTTTCTCAGCAAAGGGGCAGCTCCCAGCCTCTGTGGCTTCTGAGGCAGAGGTCGGGCAAAGGTCTTAATGTGGGGAACTAAGCCCCGGGATCGCTAAAGCTCCCCCCAGAAGGCAGGGTGCTAGCCTTCTCCTGAGGGAGGGCCTGGCCTTGGCCGCCAGCCTCCACGCGCCCCACCATCTCAGCCACAGAAGAGGCATTTAATAAAGTGCTGAACTAAAAGCCCAGAGACCACCACGTGAACCTCTGCCAAGCTGGCCCGGCTGGTGCCCTCTACAAACTGCCCCTTTGTCCCAACAAGTATTGACCGAGCCTTTACTGCGGGCCAGGCGCTGCGCTGGGCACAGGACACTGCCTCCGAGGACGGCAGAGGAGAGCTGGGGGTCCCTCCAGGGCACACACCAGCTGCTTCCTGCTCAAGTGAAGTCTGAATCCATGTGGCCCCCACATGCGGGCTCCTCGAGGACAGAGACCCTGCTCAGTGGGTAAGAGTACTTGGCCAACTGGGTGTCCATTTCACCCCGGTCTTCCTTCCTAACAGAACCTTGGTTTTGTTCAAACAGACCAATATGCTCAGATAAAACCATGCACCTCCCAGACTCCTTTGCAGCTAGCTGGGCCACTTGACCCAAGTTTGGCCAATGAGACGGAATTAGGAGTCTCCTGCTGGGAATGTCTAGGAAATCAGTTGTTTTCCAGGATAAAAAGAAAACATCGCCCTTCACTCCACTGCCCCCCAATCTTCACATCAATTTTCCCACCTGGAATGCTGTCGTGACACCTGGAGGCAAAGCAGCCACTTTGTGCCATAAGGACAAAAGCCACATGCTCGGGATAGTGGGGCAGAAAGCGACAAGGCCCTCTCCAGAGGCTGCCGCAGCTCTGACTGCCTTCTGCAGGACCGTCTGCGTTCTGGGTGTAAGCACCGTGGCCAGGTCTCTGTGACTTGCAGAAATCCCAGCTCATCGCCAGGCCGCCTCAGAGACCGCCACGGTGCCCGGAGGGGAGCTGCTGCTTAATAAACACGAGTGAGGGACACAGTGAGTGGATGGGTGAGGCCAGCCAGGCCCCGCGGCGCTGTACAGCCCTGAGACTGCAGGAGCTGAACTGCAAACTTGACCCCAAAAGAAAACTGCTAGACAATTCCATCAGAGTCAGGAGGCCTGGATTCCTGGCCCAGCCCGGCCTGGGCCACACGGTGTGACCCCGAGCAAGTTCCTTGGGCCCCTCCCGGGGCCTGTTTTCCTATCTGAAAATTAGTCCGTGGGACTTGGTGGTCTTTGGGCGGGTCTGCAAAGGGAGCAGCCAGGCTCATGGGCAGTGGCCCTGTGATTCTTTGGTTTCTTTCTGGTGGGGAGGAAGGGGTTCTTCTTACCTTCAAATCCAAGTTCCACAGAGGGGATGGCAAAGGAAGACGCTCTGGGCTGATCACCTGGGAAGGGCTGGCCTCGAGCTCCCTCCGTGCCAAGCGCTGTGCTCATCTCCGAGTCATGGCTCTCTGTGGACTGGGTTGCTCTTGTCCCTGTTGAACAAATGAAGAAACTGACGTTAAGGGTGGCACAGCCTGGCCTCATTCGCAGGGTGAGCAGAGGCAGGGAGGGCCAGGGCTGGAGGGCCAAAGGAGGAGGCCGGGCGTGACTGCAGCCCCCGCTTATGGCGGTCCCCGAGGTCCCAAGGGAAATTCAATAGGCCGGACCCCGGTCTTTCTGCCTCCAGAGCAGCACTGCAGCCCCTCCCAGGAGGAGCTGGCCACCGACGGGGAGAAGGGAGGGGCAGGCAGAGCCCATGTGAATCCAACCCACGGAATGATGCTCGGAGACGTGGGGGCAACGAGAAATGCATGGTCCTGGTGGGGACATCCAGAAAGGCTTCCTGGAAGAAGCAGCACGGGAAGGGGACATGTGGAAGAGATTGTAGGTCATGCCCGAAGAACCCGCAGGAGGGCTGGGCACTCGGTCCACTGTGTTCTCCGGGTCTGGGGGGGGCCTGATTGTGGAAGCAGCTGCCCGTGACTCTGTTTCCCCCATCAGACCATGTGCTCCTCCACAGTCTTCCTCAGGACCTGGCACAGACCAGGCCTCAGGGGAGGGGAAAGGCCGGGTGAGGCTCAGCAGGTCCCAGGGCACCTCGGGGTGAGCAGGAAACGAGGGTAGGAGCTCTGGAAATGTCCCCACTCAGCATATAAGGCGGCGCCCTCCCTGCTGGGCGCTCACCTGGTCCTGCCTCTCCCGCCTTCTGAACCATGAGGTCCCACTAGCCCAGGGGATCCCCAGCTGCCTGGGAGGCAGGAAGCGCTGGCTGACAGGGGGGCCAGAGGGGAGGCTGGGGCGGGGGAGGGGGTGAGTCACGTTAGAGTCAGTCTGACTCCACTCTCCCTCCCAAGATTCTGCATGATTAACAAGGCCCTGGGTGGCTCTGAGGTGCAGCCGGGTTTGGGAACCACTGACTGAAGCTGTGTGGGCCTCAGTTTCCCAATCTGGAAAATGGGGGAGTAATAGTCCCATCCCATAGCACAGCTGTGATGATGGTGAGAATTTAACATGGGGGACAAGCCCAGCAGGTAAATGATGGTGACGATTATTCTACACACTGGACCACCAACCAAGCACAGCAACGAGGCAACGGCCCTGAACTTCACATAGGTCCGGACATGGCCCAGAGACTGCGCAAGAAGCTAGAGGATCATCTTATTTGTGAAAAGTTCGCCGTGACCCAATAGTCATTCAGTGTTTCCTAGGTCACCTTTTAATGCAAATTTTATCAACAAATTGGACAGCTTAATGCAGGCATTAGAAGAGGGGAAATCAGGAAAGTGAATCAACCAGAAATTAGCCTCCTTCCCCTCAAACACACCCAGCGGGAGTCAAGGATTAATTAACCGCGCCTTCCACTTGGATCCCCTGTCCGCAGGATTCACTCGTGTTTGTTATAACAAACGCTGTAGGTGCCAATCAACAAACCCATTTCTTCAGAAGAGCCCAAAGTCACCAACAGAACAAACACCTGGCTGGGCTGGACCCTAGGGAGTTTTCTCTTAAAACAAAAGCACTCCAATTTCCAGTTATTTGTACATGATACCCGGGAGCAGAGGTGGGGCAATGAGTGATTAACTTTACTGGACTGCAGGTATCTGGAGCTGTCAAAAACCTGTACTCTTACAAGTAACAATCCCACAGGACGTTTAAACAATGATCATGGTCTTCAGGCACAAAGACAATTTCAACAAATTCTAAAGTAAAACTCATTCTCGACACAGTGAAATGAAAATTCTAAATGAATATAGCTAGAGGTGTGTGTTTTTTAATCTAACTAGGTGAAATTTTTAAAAACTTCCAAATAACTCAAGATGAAGAGGAAATTCAAAGGAAATTACATACTACTTAGACATCTCCTACTATTTGGATCTTAAAATGAAAGCACTGGATATTAAACCTTAGAAGATGCAGCCAAAGCGATACTTAAAGGAAAATTCATATCTATAAATATAGTAAAAGGTATCACCTTCCTAAGAAAGAGATTCTTTTAACAGAAAATTGGCTTACCCATCAAATAGCCCAAAAAGGGGAGGGACTTTTGTTTAATTGTTTTGCCAAGTTTCCTTAAAGCTCATAGACAGAAAGGTTGCTTTTCAAAACCTCTCCGTCTCCAAACTTGAAATGTCTGTCAAACTTGTGATGACATTCCAGTCGTAGCAAAGATGTGCAGACATACACTACGTTTACTGTCTCCATTAGACACATAAAGAAAGCAAGCTAGAGAAAGTGTGATGCCTGCAGAGAACACTCACTTCCTATTCTGTTCTCATTAACGGCTAACTTTACCTGAAGCCTTAAGACACGCACTAGATAGGGACTGTAACAAGGCTAAAATTATTGACCCTGACTCTTCCACTCATTAGCTCAATTGAGTCACTTAAAATTTCTGTAGCAGTCAGCGTTTGCCATAATGATGCTGTATAACAAACAACCTCAAACTCTCAGAGGCTTCCTCTACAAACATTTCTTCTCACACTCATTGCTCTGTAGGTTGACTGCAATTGCCTGGCCAAGGCTGGACTCCGCTAGGCAGTTCTGTTTCAGGCTGGGGGTTAGGTTCAATCTGCCCCACGTGTCTCCACATTTCTTTTGGACCGGAAGTTAAATGGGATACATTTTGTCGTGACAGATCACAAATATGCCAGACATAGAGCAAAACCACGTGATATCTCCTACAGCCTCCTCCTAAGAGGCTTGCTGTCTCTTCTACCCACAGTCCATTGGCCAAAACAAGTCATATGGCCAAGGCCAAAGAAGCAGGGCAGGAAAATCTATTCCACCCCAAGGAGAAAGGGAGTGAATAACTGCTGAACAATAACCCAATCTATCCTACTTTCTTGGCCTCGGTTTTCCTGTCTGTAAAATGGGGTCGATGAAAAGTCCTACCTCATAGGAACAAACGTCAAGCTTTGCTCTAACCTAACCGTACCTGAGCCCTGTGCTGGCCGGCTTTGGACTTGGGTTATGTCCCACTCCTCCTCGGTGGGCGGATGGAGCTGCGAGGCTTAGAGCTGGGGGTGGAGCCAATGCCGCCCAAACCACAGGTCTGCTCCCGGATGGAGAAGAGTTGGAACCTGTGTTAGGAACTTCATCACAAAGCCCGCCGCCAGTATTAAATACATTCCCATAAGCCATCAAAGATAGTCCCTGAGTTCCCGTGACCCAGGCCTCGCCGGTGCTGAAAGCGAGGCTGGCATCGCTAGTTTATCAGCTGCTTTTTCTCCTTCAATGTCTTGGCCCAAGAACAGTCTTCATGCAGAACCCTGGAGATGGAGGGGCTCAAACAGGCTCACTTCGAGGTCTGGGCTCGGGAAGCTGCCCAGTCAGTCCACCTCATTTTCTACAAGGAGGCCAACGGCAGGAGAGCGGAGTCACGAAGCATTTGGGTTTCCGAGAAGAACAGGCTCGGGTTCACGCCCCAGCTCTGCCGCTTTCTGGTGCAGGCGAGCTCGGTGCACCGCAGCTCCCTCATCTGGGAAATCGTCTGCCCAGAGGTGGAGGGTGACCCAGAGCCTGGCTCTGGGGTTGGAACCCCAGCCCTTCCAGTGAGCGAGTCTACAAAAGCTTTGTCTCCTCACCTGTAAATTGGGGGTCAGACAAGCTCCCTGATGGGGTGTATACAACACCTCCGCCATGCCAGCACCTAGGACACGCTCAGCCTTCAGTGAGGAAGGCTTCCCGTCTCTTCCCTGTGACCCCAAACACGCCGAGAGGTTGCCTTCATCGACCCGGGGACAGGCCCAGTCCCTGATGCGGGAGGACGGGGTGTGTTGTATGACATGCCTCATAAATGTCAAGAGTCCAACGAGTCAAGTACCAGACTTTGTGAAACCGAAGCTGCCGTCAATGACCAGACACATCCCTGGTTCAGAGCCGTGAGATGCGGGGCGAGCGGGTGCCGCAGCATAGATGAAACTCGGCGTGTGGCGTCCCAGGCGAGGAACTGAGATGTGGGCTCGCAGAATTAAACGGTGTCTGATTTCACTGCTTGGGACGGCCTGTCTCCCCGCGTGGGCCGCACGCCGCTGGGGAGGGGACCGTCCTTCCCCTTCTCTGATGTCCTGTGAGGGGGTTAGCACATAGCAGACACTCGACAAATATCTATTGAAAGAACGACCCAATCGATCCCTCCGCTCATCAAAGAATCAATGAATGGCACTCGCTGATTTGAAAACTGTGCTCACCACGAGGGAAGGGGCAAGGCTGCTTAAAAGTTTGTTTTCTTTTCTGCCGTTGTTAACCCTCACCTTAGGATATTTTTTCCACTGATTTTCAGAGAGAGTGAAAGGGAGGGAGGGAGGGGAGGAGAGAGAGGGAGAGAGGATTATTGATGTGAGAGACACACTGATACATCCATTGGCCGCCTCCCACACGCGCGCCAACCAGGGCCAGGGGTGGAGCCTGCAACCCAGGTACGTGCCCTTGGCCAGGATTCACACCCACAACCCTCTGGTGTGTGAGACACTCCGGCCAGGGCAAAACTTTTCTTCTTCTCAAGCGGGACTTCCATGCTAGACGGATGTTCAAATATACTTTTTTTTTTTTATGAATCTGATCCATGCAAAGCTAACACAGTTGTTGATCACGACCCCTCACACAATGTTTGCTCATTGAAGAGACAGTGGTTGGGCATCTGTTATCCGCTAGGGACGAATAAGCTGCCGAGCACAGGGACTGTGGGCCTGCCCACAGGGAGCTGAGTCTACTGGGGGAGGCAGGCAGACGTGTGAAAAATAAACATTTTCTTGGTAGGCATGTGGTGAGCCCTCTGCCTCCCGCCCGCAGCTGAGGGCATTTTAGTCTACTTTTGTGACCCGAGAATGGGTCCAAGCTCCCCCTTTGCTTTGTTTTAGGCCTTTGTGTCCCTGGCAACACTGTATTCATTGAACTTAGGCATCTGCCTCCTGAGCGCACCTGAGGACTACATTTCCCAGCCTCCCTTGCAGCTGGGTGCGACCATGTGACTCCACTCTGGCCAATGGGAGGGAGGAATGACGATCCAGGCTCCACCCTAAAGCATCCTGGGGCGTCACCCACCTGCTCGCTCCGCCTCCAGACTGTAAGGCTGGAAGAAAAAAAAAAAAACAAAAACAAAAAATCCGGGATGGGGGGAAGGACAGCGGNACTGGGTGTGACCATGTGACTCCATTCTGGCCAATGGGAGGGAGGAATGACGATCCAGGCTCCACCCTAAAGCATCCTGGGGCGTCACCCACCTGCTCGCTCCGCCTCCAGACTGTAAGGCTGGAAGAAAAAAAAAAAAACAAAAACAAAAAATCCGGGATGGGGGGAAGGACAGCGTGGGGAGCCGGAGGAAGCTGTCTGCCCCACACCGCGCTGCAGCGCGAGGAAACAGAAACCTTTATTGGGTCACGTCCCTAAGGCTTCAGGAGCTGTTTGTTACTGCAGCAGAGCATAGTCCGACCCACGCAGCCGCTTATAAAAAAAAAAATCACTCCCACCCAGCCCGCGTGGCCCCGTGGGTGAGCCTCAACCCACGAACCAGGAGGTCGCGGTTCGATTCCCGGTCAGGGCACAGGCCCCGGCCGCCGGGTCCCCAGCAGGGGGCGCGCAGGAGGCAGCCGGTCAAGGACTCTCATCATTGATGTTTCTCTCTCTCTCCCCCTCTCCCTTCCTCTCTCTGAAATCAATAAAAACATATTAAAATAAATAAACATAAAAATCACTCCCGGCCGGGCGTGGCTCAGCGGTTGAGCATCGACCTAGGATCCAGGCGATCAGGGTTCGATTCCCGGTCAGGGCACAGGCCCGGGTTGCGGGCTCGATCCCCAGTCGGGGAGGCAGCCCATCAATGACTCTCTCATCGTTGATGTTTCTCTCTCTCTCTCTCCCTCTTCTTTCCTCTCTCCGAAATTAATAAAGATATATTTAAAAAAAAAAAAATCACTCCCATTTTCTCATGAATGAGACTAAAGACGTCCTCACGGCCAAGAAGGAAAACCAAGCACTGAGAAGAGACCCTGCCACGAGGCAGATGAAAGCCACGCAGAGGGGAGATGGCACTCCAGGCTGGACCCCCGGCTGTGGGCCAGGCCACCCTCCCAACCCCGAGCGCTGAGAGACGCTGAGAGCGGGCGGCCAGGGTAACCCGGGGCAGCATCACAGGCGCTCAGGTTCGCAGGGATGGAGTTTCGCGAGTCTCGGCTCTCAGAGTCCTGGAGGTCACCTCTGCCTCCTGCCACCCACCTCCCCAGGCGTCGGGGTGACAAGAGCGGCCCTGGAAGCAAAGAAGTCTAGACTGCAGTCGCTTCGCCTCTCTGAGCCTCAGCCTCCCCGTCTGTAAAATGGGCATCATGACCACAGTACCTCGGTCACAGTTCTGTCGTGAGGATTCAACAAGGTGATTCACGTGAAGAACTCAGTGGCTAGTCCACAGTAGGTGCTCAGTAAACAGGCTAAGCGGAGGGCACTGGGAGTGAGCACCAAGGGCACACGGCTGACACCCCCTGTGCTACGTCCTGGGGTCGGTTCCGGAGAAGGGCTCTGCCCACCAGCTCGGGAGGTAAATCGAGGGCTGTCGGCACTCACCGGGCTGTCTCTAGCTCACACTCTCTTCACATGTACACTTGAGAAACAATTTTTTTTTTTTTTAGAAATGCTCTCAAAACAAAAACAAAAACCCTGCTTTGTTCAGTGTAAGCACCATTAAAAATTCACCAGCTGTGGGAAGCGAGAGGGACAGGAGTGCAGCCCGAGCTCAGGACAGATTGCTGGAGGGTTTGCATCCAGCAAAGCAGGGATGGTCACTCTCCTGTCCCCCAGACCCCCATTTGCTTCCTTTATCGCCATCCTTGCCACCCTGTTTATTTATCTGCTCACTTATTTCTGTTTGTTTTCCAGCTGGTCTGGGATGTAAGATCCACGAGAGCAGTGGTTCTGGGAGCTGAAGCAGAGCCTGGCACACAGCAGGCACCTAATACTTGCAGAAGGACACAAGGCCCAGGGAATAAATGAGCAATTAAATGAATGGACAGGAGAGCAAGGGGGAGGCGCGGCCGGTCAAGAATGGATCTTTCCCTGGGTCAGACCAGAGGCTGGTCCCCGTGCAGCGGCCAGGAGACACGTGACCCCAGAACGTCTCTTCTCTGGGCCTCAGTTTCCTGAGCTGTAACATGGGGGTTATATTCCTACCCACCAGTTAGATTGTTCTGAGCATTAATGAAAAAAATCCCCATGAAACATAATTCTGCGTCTGGCACAATGGTCTGTAGTTTTAGTCACTGAGTGGGGAGGTGGGGGAGGCAGGCGGCACATGCACCAGCCACCACCACTCGAATGAAAAGAAAGAAAGTGTCTAAGATTCAGTTCCTGAGATCCAAGGAGCTTCTCCTTAGAAACTCCCAGCTGAGCCCAGTGTGGGGACAAAGGTCTGTACTAAGTGAGTTATAAAAACAACTCCCAGCCAGGAACCACTGAGCTGCCACCCCCCACAGACACCCACACACCCACACACACCCCACCCGGGGCCGGCGGGGGATTAACTCTGGCCTGACCAGCACGCTCGGCTTCTGGAAGGATTTGGGGAAAGGGGCAGGGGGCAGGGGGGAGCTTCCCGTTTCATCTCAGTGCTAACCCCCTCCACTCTTCACATCATGTTCAAGTCCTGCGATGCTCGCAAGGCCTCCTGGAAGAAGGTGTCTGAGGAAACTGAGGCCCCAGACAGGTGGTGCACCTTACCCAGGGGTAACAGGCCTGTTTCTCCTGACCCCCAGGCCCCTCTCCATGTGCTGGAGCACCCCAGATGTCCCAAGCGCTGAACAGACACCATCCTAACCCCAGGGGCAGCTACCCAGCAGGTCTGCCATGAAGGCTCCCCGCTGAGCCCTCGGCAGACACCCCTGATCAGCTGGAGCATAGGCCAGATCCCTTCCAACCCTGGGCTCCAGGCAGACACTTCCACTCAATGGGAACTGGCCTGGGAGATTCAAAGGCCTCTGGGCCCTCCCCAGGGCTTAGCACCGCTCCTGCACGTTGGCCAGCACTCAGTCCTCGGGGACCGAGTAGATGAGCCAGTGAGTGAGCAGGTGGACGCCCAGACTGTGCCTGGTGCCTGGACAGAGGCCCTCAGTTGGGAGATGGTGTCTGCCCTCCAGGCACATTCCATCCATAAGTACAGGGTTCAAAAGGAGCCCTCCACCCCTCTCCTGCTGCTCATGGAGCTCCGACTTCCCCAGACCCTGGGACTGGAGCCACTCTGCTTCCTGCCCCATGACCCAGGCAGGTCCCTGAAGCTCTCTGTGCCTCAGTGCTTCATCCCTAAAATGGGAATTACAACCAAACGTGTCTCAGAGGCTGGCGTGGGATTCAGGAGACCACCAGGCGGAGCGTGGGGCCCGGGGTCTGGCACAGAGCAAGACCTCCCAAAAGCCAACGGGCTCTCCGCCCTTCTCGTTACACTTAAGGACCCCGAGGCCGGGGCCACGGTGTCTGTCTTGGCGCCGAGCCTGGTGCCCAGGCCGTGCTGGGCTGCCATAGATGTTAGTAGGTCATGAACCTCCACCTGGGACGGACGGCACAGGTTCTGTGGGGCAGGACTCCAGGCCCCCGGCTGGGCTCCCCAGCGCCCACCAGCCACGACATAGCCTTGTTGGGGTGCAGTGCAGGGCTGCCAAATGCCCAAGCACCTCGGAGAGAACAGTGACCCCCGCAGTCAGCTGCGCCCCATCACCCTCTGCGCCAAGGCCCACAGTCCCAGGTCTTCGTCCCCATGGAGCAACCCCAACTCCAACCACAGGGACAGAGAGCTGGGCGGCCAAGGGGACATCTGGGTCCCAGACCCAGCTCCAAGCCACCATCCTCGGCACATCCCTCCTCCTCTCTGGACCTCAGTTTACCCATTTGGAAATTAGGGCCGGGGGCGGGGCAGCCCGATCTCTAGGGCCCTTACAATTCGAACAGCGTGTTCTGCACACTCACTTGTTGACTGATCTAGTCCACAAGCATTGCGCCCCGACTGTGTACCAGCCCTGTGCGGGGCACCCTGCTGCTCTCTGCGCAAGGCCCCTCTCCCGCCTTGGCCCCCAGTCCCAGCTTCCTGAAGGAAGCCTTCCCGGGCCAGCTCTGGGGCCCCTCCCCGGCCTTCCCACAGCCCCACCTTCTTCCTATCACGGCTGATCGCTCTGTCCTCTCACCTGTTTATCTGTCTGCTTCCCTCCGAGTGTGGCCTCCTGAGGGCAGGATCACATCCTGCTCCTTCCGTTTGCAGGGATTTCAGAGGAAGGTTCTGGAAATGGCTCTTGGGCAAATGGCCAAATAAATGAACATGTGAACTCCTAATCTCTGCCCCCCTCCTCCCCCCAGCACGACGCCCTCCGCGTTCCCTTCCTCAAACCAATCCCTGGGAGCCCAAGGGGCCAATCCCCCTGCTGACCGGGAGCCTTCCCAGCCGTGACCCCTCCTCCAAGCTCGGTGACCAAAAGGTGCCCACAAACCATACACGGCATTCTCAAGGTGCTAACAGCTCTGCTGACACCACCTGGGGCTTGACTCAGCAGACACTCGTCAATATTTAGGCATTAATTAACCTCCGCCAGGGAGCACTGACTGGGTCCGGGTGTGGCCCCCAGCTCCAGGGGAAAGGTGAGCCCCCAGCTTTTCTCAGGTGCCCAGGAAATACGGCCAGCCCCCCATCCCCGGAAGCCTGTCCCACTCAGACCTGCTCCCATGCACCCTGTGCGGGTCCGAGGGCCCCTCCTCCGCCAGGTGCGCACCTGGATCGCATGCACACACGTGCCAACACGCCACCCTGGACAGTCTGCGGCACCCTGCGCCCAGCCACTGTGCACCCAGCCGGAGGCTCGTGTGCAGCCCACCCAGTCTATCAACATTTGTGAATCCCTACTGTGTGCCCCCAGCCTCATGGCTCCCGGGGGGCACCCAAGAGCTCAGCTGTTCCACTGCCTCCTTCAGCAAGTGTTCCCCACAGCAGCTGCCGCAGCCCCCCCCCAGGCCACCCCCGAAAGAGATCAAGGGTTTGTAAGAAGCTAGACAACTGCTCAGCCCTCCCCACTAGACGACCTCTTGATTCCTGAGAAGGAGGGGAGACCAAGTAAGCATGGGCCCCAGAAAGAGGGCCCAGAGGGTGGGGTCCTGCACATGGGGGTGAGCCACTTGTCAGCTGACCGCAGGGAGGGAGGAGCTTTAGCTCAGCTCAAACTCACCTTGGGGCCAAGTGAAGCCGGGGGCCTGGGAAGGGCCAAGCGCAGCTGCCCCCAGCCCTCGGCTAGAGAATCCACCTCCACCCCTGGCCTGATTCCCCACCGAGGCCCCCAGCGGTGTGCGGTGTGGCCCTGAGAATGGCTGTGAATGAGGGGGCTGAGGCTGGGACAGAGAGTGGCTTCTCCATGGACTCCTGCAGGCCCTGGTCTCAGGGCCATTGGCAGGAAAGTGGTGGAGCGTCAGTCACATCAAGGTCACTTCACCATGAGCTGAGCCCGGAGAACTGAACTCAGATTCACCCATGACAGCAGCAAGTGGCTGAATTTTTTTTTTTTTTAAATATGTCTTTACTGATTTCAGAGAGAGGAAGGGAGAGGGAGGGAGAGAGAGAGAAACATCAGTGATGAGAGAGCCATTGATCGGCTGCCTCCTGCAGGCCCCTGACTGGGGATCAAGCCCACAACCCGGGCATGTGCCCTGACCAGGGATCGAACTGCGATCTCCTGGATCCTAGGTCGATGCTCCACCGCTGAGCCACGCCCGCCAGGTGCAAGTAGCTGATTCTGAAGAACCTAGTTCTGCTCCTGGAAATAGATCTGGGTTCAAATCCTGTCTCCACCCCTTCTTGGCTGTGTCACCTTGAGCAAGACACATAAACTCTAAGTCCGAGTCCCCCCAGGAAGACTGGGCAAGGACAGAATGAAGGCCAAAGCCAGCATGGAGAGCACGTTCGTGCACTCTCGCAACGAGCCAGACTCCACAGATCCCGGGCTTGACTGTTGCGTACAGAGACCTCACAACTATAAGGCCAGGTAGGGCCCCCTGCCCCCTCCACATGCCAACAACGTCTCAAAAGTGAATTTCAAAAATAAGGGAGCCTTCGTGTGTCTTCAAGACAGGCTCTGGGGAAGTAAGGGGCAGCACATTTTTATTCCTACAGGTTTTATCACATAGACAAGTCCCACACCTCTGTGCCCCTATCACCAGGTCGCCAACAGAATGGAATTAAAATGCCTCTTTTCTGTATGTAGATCCCTTAAAATGTCAATCCTGGCTCCGCTGGGTGGAGCTGGGGAGAGGTGTTGCCGGTTACAGGGGCTCAGACCAGTTTGAGATTGTCCATAGACGGCATGGGAAGAACAGAGCACTGCCCTGGGGCTGTGGGACCGGGGGCAAGTCCCTTCGGCTGTCAGTGCCCGCTTCCGAGTCTGTAAAACCGAGCACATGCTCCCTAACGCGGCTTAAGCCCTTGTTGCCTGGCACTGAGTCGATGCTGCAAAATTGTTTTGAGGAAATCAATCTGGGGAATTCTTCCTACTGAAGGGAGCCCTGGCTGGGTGGCTCCCGGGCACCAGAAAAGGTTGCGGTTTCGATCCCCGGTCCGGGCGAGTAGGGGAGGCAACGGATGGATGTTTCTCTCACACATTGATGTTTCTCTCTCTCTCCCTTCCTCTCTCTCTAAAAAAAAAAAAAAAAAAAAAACAATAAAAAAAAAAAAAAAAAAAAAAAAAAAAAAAAAAAAAAAAAAAAAAAACCCTNAAAAATCAATAAAAACATATCCTCGCGCCCTGGCCGGGGACGCTCCGTGGTTAGAGCCGGTGGCCCGCGGACTGCAGGGTCCCTGGTTCAATTCCAGCTCCGGCCAAGGGCACCCACCTGGGTTGCAGCCTTGATCCCCGGCCTGGGGGTGAGTGCAGGAGGCGACCCATCACTGTGTCTCTCTCACACTGATCTCTCTCTCTCCCTTCCATTCTCTGAAAGGCAATGGATTAAAAACAAAAACATCCTCAGGACTGAAGAGAGACCCAGACACTGCAGGATGGGCTGGCGGGGTCGCTTCACTGCCCCCCAGGGACAAAGCTGGCGCAGAGGGCAACAGGCCCAAGGAAAGGGGGCCCAGGAGAAAGCCCGGGGAGGGTGGACCAGCAGGGAGACTGCTCCTGGGNGGGGCCGCGCGCTCGCGAGCTGTGTCCCCCCGAGTCACCCCGCTCCCCCGAGACAGGCACAGTGAGGGGCGCAGGGGGCCGCCGGCAGGGCCTGCCCCGTCCTAGGGACCTGACAACCGCCCTACTGTCGTTATCGGTGGTTGGAAAGCAGAGGTACCGAGCCCGGCCTAGGACCTGGGCAGGCGGCCAGGCCCGCGCCCCCCGTGGCGCGCGCCTCGGGGCCTCCTGCACCCCAGGGGGCCCCGCTCACGAGGCTCTGTTTCCCCCGCCCGAGGAATGGGGAGACGGCCCCTCCCCGGGTGCTCCCCGCGGCCCCTCGGCCCCCAAAGTCAAGGGGTCGGGCCCAGGATCGAGGTGGCGGGTACCTCCAAACCTTTGTCCCGCGGAGGGCTCCTCAGGGTCCAGCCAGCTGCCCCCGAGTCTCCTGCACGGGCCTTGGGTCCCGCGGGGCACCCGGGGTGAGAAAGGGAGCGCCGCCGGGCGGCAGCGGGGAGCGAGGCGCACCTNCCTGCCTCAGGGGCCAGCTCGAGGCCCCCTCCTCAAGCGAACCTCCTGGCCACCCCCTCTCAGCCCCCCCAGTCTAGAGATCCCCGAAGGTCACAGCCCTGTC